TTTTTATGGCAGTTTTGGAGCAGTGGATTCTTCCTTGCTGAGCGGCCTTTCAGGTTATGTCGATATAGGACTCGTTTTACTGTGGATATAGATACTTTTGTACCTGTTTCCTCCAGCTTCTTCACAAGGTCCTTTGCTGTTGTTCTGGGATTGATTTTCACTTTTCGCACCAAAGTACGTTCATCTCTAGGAGACAGAATGCGTCTCCTTCCTGAGCGGTATGACGGCTGCGTGGTCCCATGGTGTTTATACTTGCGTACTATTGTTTGTACACATGAACGTGGTACCTTCAGGCGTTTGGAAATTGCTCCCAAGGATGAACCAGACTTGTGGAGGTCTACAAATTTTTTTCTGAGGTCTTGCCTGATTTCTTTTGATTTTCCCATGATGTCAAGCAAAGAGGCACTGAGTTTGAAAGTAGGCCTTGAAATACATCCACAGGTACACCTTCAATTGACTCAAATTATGTCAATTAGCCTATCAGAAGTTTCTAAAGCCATGACATCATTTTCTGGAATTTTCCAAGCTGTTTAAAGGCACAGTCAACTTAGTGTATGTAAACTTCTGAATTATAAGTGAAATAATCTGTCTGTAAACAATTGTTGGAAAAATTACTTGTGTCATGCACAAAGTAGATGTCCTAACTGACTTGCCCAAACTACAGTTTGTTAACAAGAAATGTGTGGAGTGGTTGAAAAACAAGTTTTAATGACTCCAACCTAAGTGTATGTAAACTTCAGACTTCAACTGTATATATATATACATACATACATACATACATACATATACATAAAACGTTTTGTACACATTTTCAGATGGGGTGCAGTCTGAGGGCAGGTCACTATTGCTAAATACACCACCACGAGGATATCTGATCCCATAGGAAATTGTGTCTGGTTTTGTTCGTGATCACTCACCTGTACACCAGGTTTACATATTTTTTGCTTCATCATTCAGGGTACTTTACTTAACAAATCCATTTGAAACATGAAACTAGACAAATGTGTAGCAGCATTTCATGCTATTGCATGACAGATGAGGTTGGAAGTCTCCTGTAATGTAGTTTGCATTTGGAGTCATTCTGTATGGTGCCCATGGTTATTACTGGTTATAACATGGGAGTGTACTATATAAAATACTGTTGAGCAGGGCTTCATTTGAGCCGCATCCTGCCAGAACAAGATCCGGCACCTCTCTGTTTTGGACAGTTTCTTTCCGGAACCCATTTGTCAGGATCCGGTACCTTTCATGGCATGACAAATCATTTTCACTGTTTGCAATGTAAAAATCCTAATAAAAGCTATCAGAGTTAATTCATGTTCTCCTTTGTAATTCTCCTGGCTGCCCCCTGAAAAACGTAAATGTTAAAACGTGCCTAATATTCTAAGAATTGATTTGTGTTTATGGTTTGCGCAACAATGTAACCTTTATAGACCAACACATGGCCATTGCTGTGGTGAGAGAGAGAAGAGTGCCTGTATCCCTCACAGAACTAGAATGAGATTCACTTTATATGAGCTCTCTCCCTCTCTGTTCTGATAGACATGAGCCTGCAACTCATCTCCAGAGTTGCACTTCATTTATTTCCTTATAGAATCATAGCCGCGGGAAGGGTGCTGGAGGTGCCGTAGCACCCCTGATAAATAAAAATAAATTTGCCAAAGTTATAGAATTACTCCTCTGTTCAGAAAGAAATTACATATTTCAGAATACTACACCAGAAGTTGGCCTATAATTAAGCCACAGAGGATCAATATCTTATTTTTTTAAATAGCCTAGCTGTGGCACGAGCACATCGGCCATCGCCATGAGTGAGCTGCTCATCATTGGATGAGTCAGTGAAACTGGAAAGCTTTTTTAGGACTATCATTTCCTCCTCATATTGTACAATATGTGTCTCCACACACCTAGGCTATTGATGGATTCAAGACAAGGTCGTTTTTATTGATCTCAGATTCTCTGTTTGTCAGTGTCAAAGTAGCCTGCCATTTCGATCATTTGTGAGGTATTAAAAAATATTCTGCTAAAGTCTCCAGTCATCTAAAATGATGTAGAATTGCATGAAATGCATTTATAAAAGGCCACATTTATCCCGGACCCTAGGCTACAAAAGTTTGCCCCTGTGTGTGCAAGTTCTGCAAGCGCCTCTACTCTATTGCTCGATGCCAGTAAGCAAAAGCGATGATAATGCATGCAATGCTTTCATATAAAGGTCATTTTTTTCATTCAATTTTGACACCTCAGAGTCCCTCAGAGCCCCCCAGGGCACCCCTTACGGGTTAAGCAAGCAGTGTGTCAAGAAGCAGTGTGGCTTGGCAGAGTCATGTTTCGGAGGACGCATGGCTCTTGACCTTCGCCTCTCCCGAGTCCGCACGGGAGTTGCAGCGATGGGACAAGACTGAAACTACCAATTGAAAATCACTAATTTGAGGAGAAAAAGGGGTAGAAATACACACACAAAAATAAAACTGATATACCTTATTTACATAAGCATTCAGACCCTTTGCTATGAGACTCAAAATTGAGCTCAGGTGCGTCCTGTTTCCATTGATCATCCTTGAGATGTTACTAAAAATTGATTGGAGTACACCTGTGGTAAATTCAATTCATTGAACATGATTTGGAAAGGCACACACCCGTCTATATAAGGTCCCACAGTTGAAAGTGCATGTCAGAGCAAAAACCAAGCCATGAGGTCGAAGGAATTGTCCGTAGAGCTCCGAGACAGGATTGTGTCGAGGCACAGATCTGGGGAAGGGAACCAAAAAATGTCTGCAGCATTGAAGGTCCCCAAGAACCCAGTGGCCTCCATCATTCTTCAATGGAAGAAGTTTGGAACCACCAAGACTCTTCCTAGAGCTGGCCGCCTGGCCAAACTGAGCAATCAGGGGAGAAGGGCATTGGTCAGGGAGGTGACCAAGAACCTGATGGTCACTCTGACAGAGCGCCAGAGTTCCTCTGTGGAGATGGGAGACTCTTCCAGAAGGACAACCATCTCTGCAGCACTCCACCAATCAGGCCTTTATGGTAGAGTGGCCAGATGGAAGCCACTCCTCAGTAAAAGGCACATGAAGGCCCGCTTAGAGTTTGCCAAAAGGCACCTAAAGAGTCTCAGACCATGAGAAACAAGATTTTCTGGTCTGATGAAAACGAGATTGAACTCTTTGGCCTGAATGCCAAGTGTCACGTCTGGAGGAAACCTGGCACCATCCCTACGGTGAAGCATGGTGGTTGCATCATCATGCTGTGGGGATGTTTACAGCGGCAGGGACTGGGAGACTAGTCAGGATTGAGGGAAAGATAAACGGAGCAAAGTACAGAGAGATCCTTGATGAAAACCTGCTCCAGAGCACTCAGGACCTCAGACTGGGGTGAAGGTTCACCTTCCAACAGGACAACGACCCTAGGCACACAGCAAAGACAACACAGTAGTGGCTTCAGGACAACTCTCTGCATGTCCTTGAGGGGCCCAGCCAGAGCCCGGACTTGAACCCAATCAAACATCTCTGGAGAGACCTGAAAATAGCAGTGCAGCAACGCTCCCCATCCAACCTGACAGAGCTTGAGAGGATCTGCAGAGAAGAATGGGAGAAACTACCCAAATACAGGTGTGCCAATCTTGTAGCATCATACCCAAGAAGACTCAAGGCTGTGATCGCAGCAAAAGGTGCTTCAACAAAGTACTGAGTAAAGGGTCTGAATACTTATGTAAATGTTATATTTCAGTATTTTTTTTATGTACATTTGGAAAGATTTCTAAAAACCTGTTTTTGCTTTGTCATTATAGGGTATTGTGTGTAGATTGACTACGGAAAAAACAATTTAATCAATTTTAGAATAAGGCTGTAACATAACAAAATGTGGAAAAAGTCAAGGGGTCTGAATACTTTCCGAATGCACTGTATTACGGCACCTCCCAATTTACAAATTAAACACTGCTGTTGAGTGTCAATGTCAGGTACAGTATCTACTGTATTCAAGATCTCTCCCTGTGTGGCATCATGGTAGCTGGGTCTCAAATCAGCTATAGTGGGAGAATAGATTCACATTATTTACAATTACAGGTCCTTCTATGGGAAAAAAAACATACAAAAAATATGATCTGTTTAAATTAGTATTGGCAAGTTTTTGGCATTCAGCGAGCACCTCAGCACCCTGTGATTATGTATTCATGAGTGAGGAGAGATGGCTTCCAATCACCTTAGGTGGAATAATTAAGAACCTGATATGAGGTTTTATAGTGTTATGATGTCATGTCATAGTATCGTGGGGACCAGGTTAGAGTTGGTAGATAATTGGCTTGGTGCCACAGAGTCTACATTCCGTTATGTCAAAGGAGATTACAGATGTTTATGATATCATGATGGATGGACAGGATATACTGACTTGGGGTAAAGAGTAATAACATCAGAGAAAGGGAGTGCCCATGGAGGGTTACCAGATGTAGGTTAAGGAAGGGTAACCAAGAGTATAAAAGATGTGAGATTTGTGTACGTGGGTTCAACTGACAATGGGGCAAGGCTATGTCCGTTTGTTAGATGAACCCACGAGCTCGTGATCAAATAAACACTTGGTATAAAATCTCCACAGAATGTCTAAGTAAATTCTTGCATCCTCACTTCTCAATACCAGAAACTCATCATAACATAACCTTAAAGGGGAGGGTGCACTGCAGAGAGACAGATGGAGCTGTGCAGGGGTGTTGTGTTTTGAATCTTAACGGTTAATAGGATGTTGTGACATCTTTAACTATCATCCAGACTCCTCTGCACAAGACAGACCACAATACACAAATAGCAATTGAGAGAATATGTGTCTGTACCAAATCAATTTACCTATTTACTTTTTGTTGATACAGACATAGTACGAAACAAAGTCTTAGTAAATTGTCTTAGATCAACCTAATGAGTTGATTTCTGAACTGACAGGGATCAGAATCATAAAGTCCAAAGTCATTATTGTGTCCCCATCCTAGTAAACAGAGCGACCCGTTTTCTGACTCAAATCATCTTCATGTTGAACTTGCGGGCCCCTCCTTGTCCGCCGCTGGCAGCAGGGCCATCCACCTTTCTGAAAGAGTACTCAACTGAGAAGTTATTCTTGTGCTGTCCCCGACCCCGGCTCCATGCGAACAGCATCAGGAAACAGAAAACCACCACCCCAAGGAACAAGCAACACCCCATGGCTGTGGATATCAGGAGTGTCTTGAGGTCCAAGGTGAACTTGAGGAAGACCTTGGTGTCGTTCAGATTGGTCTCGTTGAGGTCACCTGTGTAGTATGTGCGGTTGGCCATGAGTGCCGCGTCTAGAGGCAGCGCGCTCACGGTCAGCGTGGCAAAGTAGGTGGCGTTGCCCCCAGCATTGCTGGCGATGCAGATGTAGGTGCCGCTGTCGGTCATCTGGGCGTAGCGGATCTCCAGCGTTCCCTCGGGTAGGACAGTGACACGTCCAGTACTCTTGGTAGTGATCCGGCGGCGCTGGGGAGATACCCAGAAGATGATAGGTGTGGGCTCACCCTCCGCCTGGCACACAAAGGACACTACCTGGCCCTCCCTGGCAGTCACTGGCTGCAGCTTCCTGTTGCGTATCTTGGGCTTCTGGCAGGTAAAGTGGTCGAAGAGGGCAGAGTCTGAGAAGGCGCTGAGGGCCCTGCCCTGCACCTCCAATGGGCCCGCACACACTGGGGACTTCCCTTCAAAGTTGAGGGTCTTCCTGCGCTGGAGGATCCAGAGCAGGCGGCAGTCACAGGACAGAGGGTTCCCGTCCACACGCAGCGTCTCCAGGGTGTTGACGGACTGGAAGGCGCCCTCCTCCAGGGTTACCAGGGCGTTAGTGGACAGGTTGAGCAGGCGGATCTGCCGAAGGCCGCCGAGGGCGTACGACTGCACCGTCATCAGGTTGGTGTTAACCAGGTGCAGCTCCTTCAGACGGACCAAGTCCCTCAGGGCCCAAGACTCCAGAACGGAGATAGGGTTGTATGAGAGATTGAGGCTGGTGAGGAGGGCCAGGCTGCGCAGGGCGGCCGTGGGCACGGAGGTGATGTTGGTGTTGGTGATTGACAACCAGAACAGGTTAAGGCCCTGGAGGCTGTGGGGGGAGATGTGCTCCAGGAAAGGCCAGTGGTCGATCTCCAGCCCCCGCAGCCCGCCCAGTTTACGGAAGTTCTGGTCCTCCAGGGAGGAGATGCTGAGGTAGCGCAGGCGCAGAGTGACCAGGCTGCGGAGGTAGGATAGAGACTGGCTGGAGATGGAGGTCAGGTTACACCTCTCAATGGTGAGCTCCCTCAGCCCCACCAGGCCCAGGAAGGCCTTGTTGGAGATGTAGACTAGGTCGTTGTCACCAACCTCCAGGTTCCTCAGGCTCTTCAGGTCCTGGAAGGTGAAGTCCAACAGGATGACAATCTTGTTCCCGCTCAGGTCCAGCGTGGTGAGGTTGGTGAGGCGTGAGAATGCGCCCATGGGGACCAGTTTGAGCTGATTCCCCCTCAGCGACAGCACCCTCAGGTTCTGCAGGCTGGAGAAGGCGTTGGGCTCCAGGACGCTGATAATGTTCTCACTCAGGTCCAGCTCCTCCAGCCGAGGGTAGGAGAGGAGGTCGCCATGCTCCACCCAGCGAAGCCTGTTCCCACTCAGGTCCAGCAGGCGTGTGTCCGAGCAGATGCCGTCGGGGAGGGCAGACAGGCGCTTGCCGTGGCATGCCACAGACTTGAGCTTGGCCATGCACTCACAGCGCTGGGGACAGCCTTGGCTCTGAGTGGAGGCCACAGTAGTCAGCAGCAACATGAGCAGGCCAGGCCAACCCAGGCCTGGAACAGCTACCATGCCCCCTCTCTACCTTTGCACCGCTGGGGCTGAATCACTGAACCAGACACCTGTCCACAGAAACCAAGAGACAGAAAGAGAGAGAATTGAACAGACAAATACAAATCAGTGCATGTATATTCCCTCCAACAGTTGCGATCAAACACTGTCAATTAGTAGAATTACTATTACAGATTTTAATTAACTTCGCAAGTACAATTACAGCTAGTGCTCTGAGTCAAGTCTCAGAGGGTTACACACCATGGGAAACCCAGCCTGAGTTTCTAGTAAGTTATTATTCTGTTTAGAGGAACGACCCCAGAAGATAATGAGTGAGAAGTTAATTTACTCATCATGAATAGGTGAGAAACAATGGTGTGATCTAAAGATCTGACTCATACCCTGTTTGTCATACCTCCATGCTCCAACATCAACCAATACCGCTGGGCAGAAAATCTAGTTTTCAATCCGGGAGCAAGTGTTATAGTGTTCAAATTACACTTTAGTGTAGCTCTCAGGCAAGGTCACACATCACACAAGGCTATGACCCAGCGCACAACACTATAATACTTCCATTACATCTCCATATTGTCTCTCTGAAGCTTGAGAGAACTCTTCCTGGATCTCATATAACAGAGCACTCCACAGGGTAATGACCACCTGCATCAGAGCGTTAATCCTTTCCTCAATCCATAATTTTCTCAAATGTATACCTTTGGCATGAAACATCCCAGGAATAACGTGTTCTATAACATCATATTATAATATAATAAGCCATTTAGCAGACGCTTTTATCCAAAGCGACTTACAGTCATGCGTGCATACATTTTTGTTTTTGGGTGGTCCCGGGGATCGAACCCACTACCTTGGCATTACAAGCGCCGTGCTCTACCAGCTGACCTACAGAGGACCATATTCATTAAATGGTGGGCTTACGGAGGAGTAAATGTATTAAAACCCCATGAGGCCAATGTATTAAAAACCACATGAGACCTGTCACTCCCATTAGTTCATGCATGAGGAAGTCCCCGAGCCATGTGTTGTGTGTGTCACCCGAGCACACCGATACTCTTCTTACTACAGGCCATAAATTAACGCAGTGAAATCATGAACAGAGGAGCATGCCCTAGAATGTTTAAACATAGCAACGCCTCATGAAATATGCACTCAACACAGTGTGCCATAAATGTATGAATCAGTTAGACAGAAATGCTGCTAAAGTCCCAGAGTAACGTAATTTCCTTTGGGGGGTTATTAGTAAGAATTCAGTGAACTCTAACACTGTGTTATAGTCTACTCCCCTCTGACACAATATCGTATGCACACACCCAACCCCCTCACACCATCACACCCACACCACAGGGTGTGATCAGAGAGGACCAGTGACACTCGAGAGCAAACAGAAAATGTCTGAGGATTTTAAACTCCCACAGATGACTTAATCATTATTTTCATGTTCCTAAGATCTACACGCTCTGATTTCAATTGATCTCGAGACATAGGAATAAGTATACCCATTAGTCGACCTGTCACAGCCTAAAACTAGCTGATAATAATGTCTTCTGATCAGTTTAAAGGCATAAATGCGTTCGTACAGTACAGCTTTGAAGAGACACAGGAAATGCATGTGAGGCATATTTAGGGCAGCACTTTGCAAATGCTATCAATTTCAAGGATTTATCTTGCCATGCTTAAGGACCGCCAACTGTCCACACAACGCATTCCAATTGCCCTTTAAATGTTACAGCCATATCCTGGAAAGCCCATACAAGGTACTTTTGTGCAAAATAAAATGATGGCCTATCTTTCTATGTGCCCTGTGTGATTTTCAAATTCATCAAATTTAAGCTGCAGAGGTATTGAATGAACAATAGGAGTGTAATATCATATGGCAATTCCCCAGGCATGGGTCGATGTAAAAACTAATGAATAATATATAAAATAAATTGTACTTATAGGGCGCACACAGCCAAGAACAATAGTTCTCCCATTTCTCCCACAGAGATCATACTATACAGTACAGCGCCAGCCAGATAAACACAGACAGTGGAGTGGGTGGATACAGTGACCCTGAATTCATCAGTTCTCTGGCCGGAGCCAAATTACCCAGCAGCCCCCCGAAAACACCCAGAGAGACTCTGGCAGAGTGTGGCTTTTCAGCTCCAAAGTACCAAGCACAGGTTATCAACAGAGACAGATTTAGAAAATAGAGTGGGTTGTGTAGCGTAGGGGCAGTGCCCACTGTGACTGATGTTTCCCCCCTCGATCTCTGTAACACTACTTCCACCTCAGTCTCGTTTCTCCGCTTCTCCTCGTTCACCTGTGTTTGCGTAAAGGCTACTAGCGGACAAAATGGATGACAAATTAAGAAAATGTTCAGATGAGAGAAGTTTACCAAATTATGTCCGTCTGTCCTTATTTACAGATACCAATTCAGAGTTATGGAGTTGAAGGGCTGACATGAGGGCCTGGAGTGTGATGCCTCCACTTGAAGAAACATGAGGGACATTAAGAGAGGACAGGACGAGGAAGTTCTGCCAAACAAGACAAACGTAAACATGTCGTCCCCCACGAATGATGGAGCACCCATTCGGAAAATGTATGGAGTAAAAAGTACATTGTTTTCTTTAGGAATGTAGTGGAGTAAAAGTAAAAGTTGTCCAAAATATGAATAGTAAAGTAAAGTACAGATACCCCAAAAAACGACTTAAGTAGTACTTTAAAGTATTTTTACTTAAGTACTTTGCACCACTGTTTATTACTATAGCTCCCGTTTTGAGCCAATCAGTGTAATTGTAAATGCCAGTGCTGTCTGTGATATCACGTGACTATCGTACGAACGTACTAATGGACGGAGACGGAGACAGATCCACAGTCCCCTCCCCAATTTCATCGTGGGGGACAATCGAGCACATTACTCACCATGGGTTAGCGAGCCCCCTGTAATGTAATGCATGCAGCATCAAGCCTCTCCACAGGATAACAGAGGTGTTTGTTTATGTAACCATGGACTCTAATCCATGAAAATTCTGAATGATAAGGTGTTTACAAACATTTCCAACCCACTCGATATCTCACACCTAACATAACAGAGCTTTTAATAGGATCAATGTAGTTCTTTCTCTCAATATATCTCTCAAACGTAAGCAATTGTTTTTGTGACACTGGGTTGAATTGACTGTGTGTACAATAGGCAAAGTTGCCGGAGTAATGATGCTGTGTGGGTGTTGGATACTGCTCAGAGGTAGCTAGGAAGAAGTGTGGGTGTGTGTATCGCTCTCCAGCAGGCAGCACATCATAATCTCTCCAGCGTTTCCACTGCAAGTGATGGACTCGCATCGATTTCAGCTCCACCACCATGCCCACTCACACTTTACATAAGCATGTCCTCCTCAGTCTAAAACACAGCACTCCTCTCTGAGGTTCCATCATCAGCAGTAGTAATACCCAGCCAGCATGGGGAAGCCCTGGGGCACCTGGCATAGCAGGCCAGCCTGAAGATTGATTCTCTGGATGGGCTCTATTTAACAGACTTCCCCTCTACCTTCCACCTCATAGTCCCATGATGGATCACTGCTGCACTTCCAGCCTGGGCCCTGGGCCCTCCACAGCAGGCAAGGACACAGCCACCATTGGAGGACAGCAGGCCAGGAGTGGTATGGGGGACCACTGTGGACATTATGGTGACATGGCAGGTCAGAGGAGATGGACAAGGAGGTAAATAGCACACGTAAGTGTGTTTTTGTCCTCAGGCGATATGCAAAGTACTGTGACTGATGATGGCTGCTGTCTGCCATCATCAGTCTGCTGTCATATTATGTTCATGTGTTCTTCAGGCTTTATAGAGGGACTATTAAAGAGGTACTTTATAGAGGTACTTTAGAGGCTTTCTATTAAAATCATCAGGGATTACTTTCTATCGTATGGAGAAACCCAATGGCACACAGAGGACGGGAGTAAGAATGTGATGTTGTCCAACATTGTCACGACTGTCTGTGAGATGCGGTAAACGAAGTCAGGCGCAGGACACAGAACTCTCGGATACGTACTTTTAATACGAAAGGGATCCAAAAGGACACAGAAAATAACTCCACGCAGGGAGGAAATAACCCGCTCACAAAATAGACAACCGTGAAGGGGAAAACAATCACACACAAAGTACAGATGAGAGACAGGGGTAATTATAAGGGAAACAATTAACATAATGACGAACAGGTGTAAACAATACAGACAAAACTAAACAAACACCGATAACATCGAACGGCAGTAGCTAGTACTCCGGGGACGACGAACGCCGAAGCCTGCCCTAGCAAGGAGGAGGAGCAGCCTCGGCAGAATCCGTGACAAACATGCATATTTGATAAGGAAGAAACGGAGGAGGCTTATGGGTCTTTCTGTAAATAATGGGGCCAATGTGTGACACTGGGATCTACATTTCTAAATGTTTTGAAATAAAAATTTAAATGATTTTCATGCAGTTCTACATGTGTGCTTAGAGGAATAAAAGTGAATATACAGTGGGGGAAAAAAGTATTTAGTCAGCCACCAATTGTGCAAGTTCTCCCACTTAAAAAGATGAGAGAGGCCTGTAATTTTCATCATAGGTACACGTCAACTATGACAGACAAAATGAGATTTTTTTTTCCAGAAAATCACATTGTAGGATTTTTAATGAATTTATTTGCAAATTATGGTGGAAAATAAGTATTTGGTCAATAACAAAAGTTTCTCAATACTTTGTTATATACCTTTTGTTGGCAATGACACAGGTCAAACGTTTTCTGTAAGTCTTCACAAGGTTTTCACACACTGTTGCTGGTATTTTGGCCCATTCCTCCATGCAGATCTCCTCTAGAGCAGTGATGTTTTGGGGCTGTCGCTGGGCAACACAGACTTTCAACTCCCTCCAAAGATTTTCTATGGGGTTGAGATCTGGAGACTGGCTAGGCCACTCCAGGACCTTGATATGCTTCTTACGAAGCCACTCCTTCGTTGCCCGGGCGGTGTGTTTGGGATCATTG